CCACGAGAAAGACCTTCATGTGCTGGAGTGTGTCCAGAGAAGGTCAACGAAGGTGGTGAAGGGTCTGGAGCACAAGTCGGATGGGGAGCGGCTGAGGGAGCTGGGGGTGTTTAGCCTGGAGAAGAGGAGGCTGAGGGGAGACCTGATCGCTCCTGACAACGACCTGAAAGGAGGGTGTAGCCAGGTGGGGGTCGGTCTCTTCTCCCAGGTAACTAGCGATAGAACCTCAAGTTGCACCAGGGCAGGTTTAGATTGGATATTAGGAAAAATTTCTTCACCAAAAGGTTTGTCAAGCACTGGAACAGACTGCCCAGGGAAGTGGTGGAGTCACCATCCCTGGAGGCATTTAAAAGATATTTAGACATGGCACTTAGGGACGTTGTTTAGCAGTGGGCTGGGCAGTGCTAGCTTAACGGACTCGATAATCTTAAAGATCTTTTCCAACCTAAACAATTCTGTGAATCTATGATTACTCTTGAAGGCTGCTGAACACCACTGAAGGAGAACGATTTACAGAAATCGGAGGTTTATAATTACATCATGGCCCTGTACCTCCTTTCTTTGAACTTAATCTAGTCATGTTTCTTATTATTCCTCATCCATAACTTGTAGCTGAACCGTGTAAAAAACTTAATTAAAAACCTGCATGACTCCTGTCCCAGCCTTTCCTCTCCAATATATACCCTGCTTCTCCTTTATTCCCATGTAAATCAACAGACAGGATCGCATAATGGAACAGATCTTCAAGCTGGCAGTTTAATGGAAGTGAGATAGCGATGGCAGGTTTAGGCTATACTTTTATTAACAGCTTCAACAAACCAAAGTAGAATTCTTTTTTTTTTTTTCCTATGCTCCTCAAACCTGAGGCACTGAATTCCCATGATCTTGTTTCTTGTTATATAGAATTAAGCAACTCCAAAGCTTCTTTCTGTACCTGAAAGAAATAAATACACTCATAACAAAACCGTGCTGCGTAGTTACAGGCTCTTCCAGCAGAACTCACAGTGCAAGCACCCAAACGTTTCACCACAGTTCTATAAATTCAGAGCCCTCCCAAAGACTGGTCATTTCTCTTCTGTAGTTCAAGATACTCAACACTTGAACTGCCACTGGGGAAGAAAACCACTTAAGCCAGTGCCTTCAGTGTCATTTGCTTACTATATGGAATAAGTTTATTTGTGTTGAATACAGATGATTAGCTCTTGATTTGCTGTAGTCCAATAGCAGCATGGAGTAAGTCATCCTATGTCCGACCACAACCAACCAGTCCCGGTTTTCAAGACTCTGGACAGCAGCTAAGGAAGTGTGAGAAGACTGTTTCTGAGACTCCCTTTGCCTAGGGATTCTGGCTAAAATAATGTAAAATTTTAGTATGACCTCTAACATCTACATTAAAAAACAAAACAAAAAACCAACAAACTTCTGGTCCTGACAGAGCAAGCAGTGCAGACAACGTAAGCCAGATACTGCAGATACTCAGAAGCACCAAATGTTCAGAAAAACCTACGTATGCCTACCTCTGCCAAATGCTGAGAGAATTCAGATTTCTCTGCACAGACCACTTTCCTTCTTACACGTCAGGCTCCCAGAGAATTCTGCATTTGACACATTCACCCAGAGAAGGGACAGAGGACCACTTCTCTCAGTTCCGCAGCTCCACACCCTTCTAGGAGGCGAGGAGATGGATGTTTGTACCAGGAGGCCACGCACAGCTGCAGCAGTAAGTGCTTTAACAACTTGGCTACTGCACAAACCCCACGACTGGCTCCTTGTGTGTGGTTTCTAGAGGAAGGCAAGCTTGTGTGATCACTGGTTTCACATGTGCCTCCAGCTACTACCAACTGCCAGAAGAACTGACCAATTCCATACATACTCGAGACCACTACTCCTTTAGGCTATTAAATTCCTATACATTTTGCAAAGCAGCGGAGGAACGGAACCCTTACTCATATTTCTACTGAAAGATGTTGCTGAAGGAGCTCACTTTCGGGAGAAACAGTTCGAGCCTTACTAGAGAATCTACACAGGGAAGCCTTAGTAGCGTTTTTTTCCTGAGGTGTGACGTGCAAAATCCTACCGAAGTATTTCTTACAATGAGGACATTCAGAACATCACAACACATTCGGATGTTCTCTGTAGCAGTGAAAGCATCTCACACTGCAGCTTAATATGAAATGAATTAAGAGGTCACTCAGATGTAAGACAAACTGAGTGGAAATCAGGCTTTGTTAGTCCTGATGCTAACAGGATTGCTTATGAAAGGTAACTGCAATTGCTGTGGTTCATACTGAATGCAGTATTTGGTCTGAACAAGTCTAACGGATTACCCATCCTGGAAGTACTCTGGATGTGTTTAGGTAGGAAGCAGATGCCTGCCCATCCAAACCAGGATCTTTCTCAGCAGTTCAAGAGGGTAATTAAGTGCCTCACATCACCTGGCATTGGAGATTCGATGTCAAAAGATACATTACTTCCATTTCCCTCAATTCAGTTAGCCTGGATCTCTCCCTAGGGGCCTGGAAAGGACTGCAATGTTAAGTTTTATGGATCTAGCAAGTTGCTAGATCCATAAATGCTTTTTTCTTCCTACTGTTCATGTGGTTTTTAGCTCTTCCAGAATATGATTTCTCCCTTTCCAGTTTTAGGCATGTGAAAAGTGAAACTGTGCTCACACAGACATCGCTTAGCTCAGGTGCCTGCCTTCACTTCAACAGCACAGTTAAGGGTGAGTTGTTGTTAGCACTACAAAAGCATCATGAAGAAGAAAGAATAACAATTCTTTATTAAAACCAGAATATTTCCAACCATTGTGCTCAGAGGCAGTTACCAACATACTAGAATTTCTTGGTGTCTGGACGTCATCCCGGACTATAGATGCTGAACTACAATTTACTCTGAGTTAACTTTATAAAACATTCCACTGCTGTGATGTCACACATCTTGGTTACAACATATGATTGTACTATTACAGTTTGTAACTTCCTACCTGTTTGTCCTCTTCTGTATGTGCAGGATACTCCTTTGCTTTGCTTAACCACAGAAGAGCCATCTTTTTATTGTTTAACTTCAAGTATGTCTTCCCCAAAAAGAGCAAATTTTTGCTGTAGAAATTTGGGTCAGCTGTGTAGAGAGAGAAGAAAAGCTTTAAATGAGAATGAGCAGCGTACTATCAAAGCCATGATACAGTGTCACTCCTTTAAATACTTGTGTTGGAAAAGATGAATAGTATTTTGGCTTTGGCTCAGAAGGCAGGCCATGTTAAAACTTATATTTGCTAGATTTTGGTCTCGCCGTTACATTAACTAGCAGCTTGTTAGTTAATACTCTAAATGAAACTGGATTCCTCACAAAGAGCAAAGCAGCGAGCCTAATGCGTAACAGCTTTGTTTTGCAGATTCTGTACTTTTCTGGACCTAGTAGGTGCAACAGGCAATGCAGCCGGCTTAGCAAGTATAGGCAAGGAAATAAAGGGCACATTTCCTAGCTTCAGACCATGCATGTACAGATATTAGCTTAGCTTTTGCCACACAGGAAGAAAACGTAAAACCATTTGTACCCACATTTAACTTTAATGAGAGATTTAAGAAGTTGCTTTTATAGTGCATGCTTTAGCTATCATTCTTAACGGCTAGTCTTGCCTACTGTTCACACTCATAGCACAGGCTTTCTCTGCTGCTGGATCCAAGGTCAGAATTCAAAACATATGGAGGTGTTTTGGAGGCAAATTTTGAGATTAAGTCCACCATTCCACTTCACAGCTGCATTACTTGACACCCAGGGGAAGATACAGAACAAACTTTTCCTTTCCACTTCACCAATATAACTATATACAAATCTTTCAGAGAACATTGTCTTCCCTCGTCTTCCTTTATCTTTCAGCTAGTCAGTTTTGCTTATGGCTTCACTCTTGGAGAAATAAGTCGTCCATATTTTATTTTACATGTGGACAGTTTTACTGCCAGTTAGATTGGCACACTGATCCAAATAGCTTCTGAAATAATAAAAAAAGTGTGCTTTCTCTGTTGTGCTGTTTAGAATACAGAGGACTTTTGAGCTTCAAGAAAGTTTAGAAAAAGTGACATAAAATTCCTTTTTGCCTGCTTCTTCCCCCTGCATCCCAGTTGAATGCCTTGAGGAAGAGTACTTTGTTACTAACGAAGGTACAAATTTCACTTTAATACTTATTCTGAAAAAAACCCCTCATGTTACACTCCAAGTGATGATAGTAAACATGTAGTATACTTTGAGTATCTCTGATGAAACATTCCAATGTAACAGTGTAGTGTGTTGAGTATGACAACAGGCTGATATGTTTATCAGCAGATCATACGCTATTAAGATAATACTGAAAGCTAGAGGTTTACTGCAAGTCATCATCCGTAAAAGATAACTGTTCTGCCCAAAAAAGCTATAAGTATTACCTTCCTCTGCCATGTGAAAGTAACGAAGAGCCTGCAAGAGATAAGGTTGGCTTCTTTAAAATGGAGAATAAACTGGACACAGTACTCAAACTAAAACATTACGCGCATGCTTAACATAGCTGAAGGAGGACTGCCCTGTCCATGACCTTATTGTTATCAATTCAGCATGCTACTGATGGTTCTCGTTCAATGTACAAACAGATCTGACACGTTCTCAACAGAACTAGTACTTACCCAACTATTCCCCTGCCACTTCCTCCCTAAGTACAGTACCTTGTATTTGTCCCTAGTAAATTGGATCGTGTTTTTCCAGGCTTCAACTTGTCAAGATACTTTTGAATTTTATTTCTACCATCCAGCATATCTGCAGTTCCCCTAGCCAGTTCTCACATATAAATTTAATACATGAAACAAATCTTAGTATTCAGGTCATTAGTGCTGACAAATACTTCAGGGAGACCTGATTCCTACAGAGCACCAGTTTGTATCTGCTTACATGAGAACAAACCTTTATGAAATCCACACGCATTTTTCAACTAGTTTCCCAACCTGCACACCAGAGATTTCAGTCCATTCCTACCTCTTCCTGATGTTACTAGCTGAAGGGAAAAATACTGTCAGAGAACTTAAAGTGTGGACATATATACAAAACAGTTTTTGTTCCGAAACTGCTGAAGTCTCACCAGTATGGCTCAACTACAGGTTCTGGGACAAGCTGGCTTCTGCAGCCACTTTAAGTGCTACAGAACTCGATGCTGGAACTGGCATGATTCTGCAGTATTCCAAATCCTGGCTGGCTGATGCTTTGTATTCTTCTGAGAGTGATTTTCAGCAAAACTTACAAGCTTGACATTCCATTAAAAAGTTTTATTTCTTTTTCAATCAGAGCTTAAATTGCTTTCGGTGTAACAGCACGCAGCCTTCTACAATTACATTCTAGTGACTCCTGCTCCTCCCCCCCACCCTTAAAAGAACAAAAAATAGTGGGCCAGTTACTGGTTGATCTAAACAAACACAGACTATAACAGCTGCAGTAAGCTTTTCTATTACCAATTTAATTTTCAAGTTTCTATATATGTACAAGTGTTTAAATAAGATGCCTACTGTGTTAGACACCCTAGAAGATACACCTCTGGACAGTATGTTTTAGGGTGTAAGACAGCAGACATACCAAAGATGAACAAAAATACTTTCAACTTCAATCCCCATATGCAGCCAGGGGATAAGAAGGTATCTGTTCATGGTAAGTAATAAAGCAAGCTGTTCCTTTTGCATTTAATATAAAGGGGAAAATTCTAACAGTCCTATCAAATAAGTACATGGTGTAACACCACCATACAAATCATCAGCACTGGAACTAGTAGAGTTATCTACAATAGATCATAATAGTAAATACAAACTAAGTTACATATAGCTTGTTATTTTCTGCTGCACAAACTATATGAAATAAATTTTCACTGTTCTGTGTGTGTTACAGCTGAAAAAAAAAATAAAGATTTTTACATTTTTGGATATCCCTCACTTTCCTGTTATTTTCTCATTTTATTAATGACAGTTGTAAACTTACAAGTTCATACTTATTCCATAAGAAGAGGTCAGCTTTATCATGAAAATTAATAAGAGTATATCAGCAGCTTTGTGGGGAGAATAATAATCTGTGAAACATCTGCATATCGTACCTCTTGAAATGTGGAGGTTGGTGGTGTGGCAAATAACGTTGCAGCTATTTTTCTTTGGTACCATGGCATTTCAGCAAAGGAGTAACACCTGGAGCAAAAGGAAACATTTCTATATACCCTTCACATTTTTCTCTTGTTTTTGAGCAACATTCTCATATCTTGGACTTCATAACTGTTGTTTCCAAGAATGACAAGAACTCCAGCCACACTGCAAGTTCTACAAGCAGGTTCTTACAACTGAACAACAAATAGCAAGATGTCTGAAGCTCCGTAGCTCTGCTAAAGAAGTTTGGGTGCATCTTTTACTGGGAACTGCTATTACATTAGTCAAAACTGCAGACAGTTACTAACCATCACACAGCTTTTGAGCTTAAATGATTTTAACGATTTATTTGTATTTGATATTGTTCTAATATATTTGCAAAACCAGGGCACAACTGAGTAATGTCATTGCCTTACCTCAATGCTACCTTGTTTTTCTCGATCATTAATATAAAGCAGATCTGCAGTACATTCCTGAAAGACTCTCATCTATAAGAATGAAAATAAACCCAAGAATCAAACTACTGTGTTCTAGGCTAGGCCACTCCATGCTGTTTTCCTATCTACTAAACATCAAAGGTAATCAGTCGCCTATCTTAGAGATGATGAAAGGATTAAACATTTATGAAGTTTCAAATATGTAGAACATTCCAGGTGTAAACGTTAAACAACACTATTCACTTCATTACCCTCCCACATCGAGTACAAAAATATTATTTACTGTGTAAAATGAAGCTCTCTAGAGGAGGTGAAAAACTAATAAATGCAAATATGGAAACATTCGGAGGAGTGGGGGGAAAGGCATGGGATAAACAGTCCAAGCTGAAATTTTGCCACCAGATGTGCTGTACCTGAAATGTCAATAAAAGAGGTTCAATCCAGGATAGCCTAGAAAGAGACGGGAGCAAAAACTCAAGAACCGCCTGATACCAATTCCCAGTTTCAGATGAAGCTACTCTGGGATTCAATAACAAGTATATTTAAATATACGATATGGGGATATTTTACTGCCAAAAGCAGTAATAATCTCACATTTCTGATCATCTTTTCTAACTTTCCTTAGGAACAATGTCTGAAGTACTTTCCAGAACAAGCTTCCAATCTCAAAACTGACCTTGAGGCTCATTCAGTTGGCAGCATAGGGTTCTGTTTAGAAATTTGGACTATTGCAATTGTTAGGTCATGTGGGAATGAATGGTGGAGACTGAAAAACCCAAGTAAGTTTGTAAACTAATAAAAAAACCACAAAACTCTGGAGCAGTAGATCGTAGTTTATGCCTGATACTCATGTCCAGAAAAAAAAAAGAACACAGAGAAGGCAGCTGTGGTTTTTAGTTTTTTTGGCCTTTTTTGGCGTTTTTTTAAGCTACAAATACATTGGGTTTGTTTATTTTCAATCTCTCAATCTTATAGTAGAAATTTCCAGTAAAACAATGTAGCAGCTTCAGTCCCTTTCAGACAAATACCCAGAGTGCTGTCTGGAGTCTCTCACTAACAATAAAAGAGAATACTAACCACAGAACGCCCTGGTTAGTAGAGAAAGCTGTATTTCCAGTCCCTTCATCTGCTTTGCAACAGTAATTCTTAATACTAATTTCACTGAGCAGTAAACTAAATTTCAAATATTTTTGTTAATGCACATGCATTTATAAGCTGCCTTTACTTAAATAACTTTTAAAATACAGTCTCATAACAGATAATGTTGGAAGTATTTTAGGAACACATCTCACTTTTGATAGCTTTTTGCTATACACAGGTTGTATTAAGTTGCAGCCATCACTGAAATTCAATGTAAATTCAGTGTTGAGTTTTGTCTCCATTCACACCAGTAGAACAAAACGAGCAGCACTCACAATCTCTGATGTCTCCTATGGAAACATACTTACAGCTGCAAAATGAGTTTTTAATAGTTCCATACAGCAAAACAAATAAATTGAATGAACAATTATTTTTCATCTTTTTGAACTGCATTAAGAATTAACAGCCATACCTTTTCAAGGCATGACATTCTATACCTGGTCAGTAGGTTGTCATGTTTACATCAACTCTTTACAAGCCACTGAATTATTCCAAGCATTTCTGCAATTCATACAAGACATTTTATGTTTGGGCATTTTCCTTCGTCACATGCTAACTTTTGTTTGAAAATATGCCTTACCAAATGCCTATGAGATGAATTGTTGTAGCATCTTTTGGATTCAGTTCAATGGCTCTCTAGTGAGGGAGGAAAAAACCACAAGATGTAAAAAGTTGTTCTGCCACATCTGGATTAAAATACGTTAAAAAAAAGTAGACTTGTTATACTACTATTAATTAAACCAGATTAACAGTGTGTAGAATATCAGGGCGATACAGTATTTATTCAGTGCACTAGATCAGCTCACCTCCAAAAAACTGAAGAAACGGACAAGATTTCTAAGCACTTCTGTTTAGTAGGCCATTAAGAGTTTCACATGAGACTTGGCACATTCAGATTTTGATATAATTTCTAGTGATATAAATTGATAGTCCTTTATCTCCTCCAGTGTTTGTCCTTTACTGCTACACAATCCAGTTAAAAGGACAGCCACACATCCATTTCTCAACAGCACAGTTACATTTTATCTAGTCCTAAGAGGTGTCAAAAGCACTTCAGCCATTTCAAGACTCCCTTCTACAGGGACTTCGTTTACTGCAGGAGATAATTTGCACTCTTTGTTGCTGGGGCATTCGAGACTGTCACAATAACCTGCCCAAAAAAGGTGTCACCAGGAGATTTGAACAAAAGTACACTTTCAAATTACAGCCAAAAAATAGTTCACAACTGTCACACAATCTACATACCGGATGCATTAATGCTGTTGTATGCAAAAAACTGTTTACATTACCTGGAAGTGCTCTTTGATGACAATGGCATTTCCAATTTTAGTTTTGATTCCTTCAAAATCTCCAACATCACTGAGGCAAATTGCATACCACTGTAATTCAAAGACCAAAAAAAAACCGTTTAATACAGTGCTATAGCTGTCAATAGTAAATTAAAAAGAAACAACCAGAACAGCTGCCACTACCGATAATGACAACAAGCAGGAAGCATTTGCTAGGAACAGCTAAGGCAGCATCAGAGCAACCTGCTGTTCTGCGAGCATAAGGGAATCAATGCCCTCTTCTTATCCAAGATGCCAACACAACCAACTGTCCTTTGTTACCTCTCTGCCTGAGAGAGAAGCAGCACAAAAAAAAAAGAGCAGAATGAAGCCAGAGCCTGAAGTATTTCCAGTGAAACTCTACAGAGCTACTATTGTGCACAGAAACAGTGTGCTGAATGTGAGGTGTGTACAACATTTTTCAGGCTACATCAGGGAAGGCTGAGCTGATTACATCAGCTATAATCAATCTGATCAGTCACCTCTTTCTGTGGTCCTACACACATTTAACCAGTTCCTGTTTCCTAGACAGAGGAAATTTAGCTGCAAAAGTCTGAACTCTGATCTTCCAAAAAAGTCAGGGAGAATTAGAAGTCTCGCTCATTCTCAACTGAAAAGTTAAATTATACTGAAGTTTGCTGAGACAGCACAATGACATTTGTTCCAGTTTCTACTGGTAGAAATCAAAGAATAAGATTTAAGTTATTTTGCTTGGCTCACCTTGTGCGCTGCAAAATTTGATTCATTTTTTTCAAGTGCCTTTTTCGCATACTCAAGGGCATCATATGCCAGTTGTCTTTTCTCCTCTGTTGAAGTACTACTAAGCTGAGCTAGATCTCGTGATGCCCGTGCCAGCCGCCATAACAACTCTGCGTCATCACTAGTTATGAACAGAAACAGTAATGTTTTAAAGCAATAATGGAAACAAAGCAAGCAAAAGTCTTAAACCAGTCTTTCAATAAGCATCTCAAGTGGGTGATAAGACACGAGCATATCATCTGTCATTCTATGCTACAGACACCCCCAAGGTAACAAACAACAAACGAAAGCCCTCCATTATAGATTGTCTGATGCTACCTTCCTTCTGCCATTCTGGTCTGTGAAGCAAACGTATCTGTAGGAAAGAACTCTGTTTTCTCAAAAAAGATGCAGAATTAAAAAAGCCAACAGCACCACTCAAAACACCAGAAGGAAAACAAGGACTACTTTGTTCTTAGCTAGATGGTAGTTTATCCAGCATTCCACTGACTCGATATTAATGTTTACTAGGAATGTTTAAAATATTATTCATCTTTTTCCCTATAATTGTACCTAAATAATGAAATTCTTCCTAGAACAACAGTGAAAAAACATAGATTAGCTGTATTACCACCACATAAAGCTGTACATTTATATATTCATTTATATCACTATATCAAATGGTTTATAGTATGTGATAGCCAAAGATAAGGGATTTTAAATTTTATTATTTTGTTAAAATATTGTTTTGAAACACTGCTTACATTTTACTATACTTTTAGCTAACTACCATTTTAATTTTGGCTTACTGTTTTAATACAAACTTTAAGTTTAGAAGGTCTTTCAGAGGTTCTGGCTATAAAACGCCCCCTCCTGCTTCCTGCCCCCTGCCCCCTCCCTCCCAATAGGAACACTCAAGTGAAAACTACCAGAAACTAAAAATGTTAAAAAGTATACATGAGTTATTGGTAAACTCAGACTACCAATAAAAGCCACTTTTCTTATCTGGAGTAAAACCGACTCACTGTTCAGAGCAGCAGTCCAGCTCTAATTGTAACAGAGTAACACAGAACTAGCAGACTCATTTTTCAGCCAAGTCATAAAAATGTTAAGTATTGCTACTGGAATCATTACTCCTCACAGAGTAATTAATATTGCTATACACCTAGTAGCAAACTTACATCTTGCTTATGACAGAGTGTCCCTTACAGGCTAGGACCTTCATTTAACTTTCCAGGTTTCATACTTGTGCCCCTGGCAAGAACAAGAAAAAATAAAAAAAAAACCTAAAAACCAAAAAAAACCAAACCCAAAACCCTGAAAATTACTGAAAACAACTGGACAGTTGATTTCCTCCAGAAATGTTCTAGGAGTGAGATGCCCTGTCTCCTCCAAAGGAATGGACTTTCCAGTTTGCAATGCATTTTCTGCTTTTTCATTCAACAGCTTGGCCCAGTTCGCTTATCAGTAATGTTTTCTGCAGTTAAGACGTAACTACATGAGTAAGCTTTTTTTGTTCAGACTCAAATCTTAACATGAGACAAATGAAAACAGACAGAACCGTTGGTCAGCAATGAAAAAGAAATGAAACCGTGACTCTCAAAAATTTTTAATACCCGAATTCTAGGTACTTTGATCATTTAGTAACGTGTAGACACATTATGAGTTTTTGCATTATATTTTAAAGGATTCTTAGAGTAACAAAACAAACAAGCAAAAAAACCCCTCTCCTTCGCAGGACTGAAAAAATTGAGTGTTAACCCTCAACCTTCTACAGCTACCAGTCCTTTCTTCATTCAGTTTTCTGTTAGGAGAAAAAAAGATCAAGGGTCCTTCTTTCCTACTTATATAAAGGTGAAAACAAGGTTCTCCAGCATACCACAATGAGAACATTAGTTGAAAAACCGTTACAGAAGAGCATAGAAAAGAAGTCACAGTAATGTCTCAATGCAATCAAATACCTATTTTTATGCTGAACCAGCAACTGATACAGTTTTTCAGTTTCTCCACTCCCATACAGGTAGTCTGCTTGCTCTATAACTTCTTCCACTTAAGAAGGAATTAAAATTGTGGAAACAGAAGAACAGAATACATGTAATTAGGACATTATAGCATAAACAAAGCATTTTAGAGCAAGACAACCTCACTGAAACACAAACGATGTAGTTCCTTTTTAGGCCACCATTCCAAACAACTTACATGCACAGCAGGATTGAATACGCTGCATTTTTACTGAACAGCTAAGAAGAGAAAGAGTGCTGAAGACATGCATCTCTCTTAAAACTGCAAAACAGCTTTCAGCAACAGAGCTTTGGATGCTTAACAGATTTAACATTCAAAAGTGTCTTTCTCAATGCATGAGGCGACTAGAAGCAATTTGTTTTCGTCTTTGTGAAAATGGAAGAAAAAAAAAGTATGAAAAATACAACCAGGAGGGCAAGTGCAGTAGAGAGTAGTGTCTTTTTGGTATTACTCCTGGGTCCGTGATCAAACTTCTAAGTCAAAACATAAGACTTATCCCCCCCTTCATAAAAATGAATCATGTTTATAAGCTTTCTTTTTTCAAGTTATCTAATTGATACTAGGTAAGTTATCTAACTTGGTAACATGAATATAGTAGTCATGTTTCACAGCAGAGTTTTATTTATAGAAGAAAAAAACGTTGAAGGCTACTAAATAGAAAAGCCTCCTCTTCAGCTTAAAAAGATCTTAGAATATAAATCACTGAAGACCACAAGAGTGTTCTGGATAATTTTTAACCCTGCCACCTCTAAATGCCTTCTATCAACCATTTCAAAGATAAGATAAGGTAACGGTTTACACGGACTTTGGATTTTAGTGTCCAAGATTAGCTTCATGGTACATCTTCATTATTATCTTTAGTGAACTGTTATGTTTGCTTGTTGAGACTCCCTAAACACTACTAACATATCTAACGACTAAATGCTCAGAACTCAAACTTCTGAACACATTTCCCAGATGTTTTATGTAAATTATTAGACTTTTATTTCTTTAAGAGCATTTTTCAGGTATTTCTTTTTTACTCTATTTTCACCATGTCTATTACTTGTCTTACATAGAAAGCCCACTAACCTTGCTGTTCTTGGCAATGTAAATGCCAGATTCAAGTGAAAGCACTAAAAAAAAGACCAGAGGAAACCAAGCAGTGTTATTTATGTTTCTCATAGGAAATTTTCTTATTTGTGTACTGAGTAGCTATCTTGAATCTATTCACTGAAGCTCCTTCTATTATAGCAAATAAAACAGTTCTTACCTGTGCAAAAATCTACTGTCTGAATTTTTATAAGCATAAACATCTAAGACGTTCCTCTCTGAGACACAAACAGGTTTTCTAAACTGGCTACTATCTAATCTACACAGTAAGGCTACATTTCAGGTAGGCTTACTCTCAAAAACTCCTAATTTACCATGTGAAAAAAAAATTTTAAGTCTGCAACAATATCCCCTTTTAAGATAATTTTACTTTTCTTTCAGTAGTGAGACTATCTTTATTCAGATCCTGAAAAGAACATTTTATCACTTGTTCTATTCTTTTCTGGTAGATAAAGTAAGGCTTTTCTTCCCCTTTTTCAGTGTGATAAAAATACAGGACATTTCTCAGCTTCGTTTAAAATGCAATCTCAGTGTTGCTCGACTAGATTAAATGGGAATCGCACTGTGTTCATATTGAAAATCTGAACTAAGATTTCTAGAAATTAAGGTTTGGTCTGTATTCCTAAACGAACTAGTCCTTTCTCAATAAGTTATTAAAAGCTTGGGCAACAAGTTAGATATCATACACCTTGTGCATGTGTTACATCCTAGACAGGATGAGCTACTACATCGGCTTTCAGTGACACTTGAAAGAATCACTTGTTAAACTGCTACAAGGCTACCCTGAACCAATTCAAAAGCACCCTGTCATGGAAAAATACCACATGCAGTCTTAATGCAGAAAGTCAAAAGCATTACACCACTTTCCTATATAATTATGGCACCAAAAATTTTTAGTTTCGTATTAGAATAATCTATGTACTTTAAAATTTGAAAATATTACCTTTGAAGCTTGCATGAACCTCAGCAAAGCCAGAAATCAGCTTGTGAGCTCCATAAACCAACAGAGACCCTGTTGAAAGTGCAACCCCCCTTTGAAGGCCTTTTCTAAGCACCTGAATGGGATCATAAGATATGTAATTAATAAACATCGTCAATCTGACCTAAAAAAGTTTTTCCCACTCTAGTATAAGTTATATTTCAGATTTTGAACAGAGAAAAGACTTTTAAAAGTTAAAAAGAAACTTCATAGGACAAACTCACCACATCATCAAGGGGGTATTTTAAGTTTTTTCCAACAGAGGCTCATAATTATGCTTTAAAATCCGAACAGAGCACTAGACCGACATTAAACCATAAATATAGGGCAAACACAAGGTAAGAAGCTAAAAAAGCAAACCTGTGTATCTCAAACGAGCGCAAAGATCCCAGCTTTTGCAAAAACAAACCAGCCCTCTGCTACGCCCCGCGATGCCGGA